GTGGGGACCTCATTGAAGTATACAAGTATACTCATGGTCTATACAAGGTCCCTGAAGGGTTACTAGAATTTGAAACAAGAACCAACACCAGGGGCCCAGGCTATAAGCTAAAAAAATTGCGCTGCAACTTCTCCACGCGACAAAATTTTTTCTCGCTTCGAATCACCGACATGTGGAACAGCCTCCCCGATGACATCGTTGGCGCTCCAAGTATGAACGCGTTCAAGAACAGACTAGATAAAGCTATGAAAAAAATATATGTTCAGATTTGAAATGCCTAGCTCCTTATCGAACCCGTTGGAAGTCTAGTAGCTACTTCAAACTATCGCCAGTCATGAAAAGATCCGGGCAAATATCACGATATTAGATCTTCTGTGAACAAGGCACGAAAAGAAAAAGAATCGGCGACAGGCCACATCAGGCCTACACTTCAGCGCCGACATCACTATGTTATGTTATGTTATGTCTTCTCAAACGTCCAATGTCTTCTCAAACGTTCAATGTCTTCTCAAAAGTCCAATGTCTTCTCAAACGTTCAATTTCTTCTCAAACGTCCATTGTCTTCTCAAACGTCCAATGTCTTCTCAAACGTCCAATGTCTCCTCAAACGTCCAATGTCTTCTCAAACGTTCAATGTCTTCTCAAACGTCCATTGTCTTCTCAAACGTCCAAACGTTTTCTCAAACCGAAAAACTGATGCTAAAAATTGAAGGAGTTTAATTATTATTTACCTGTCGGGCGCCGCACCGTAGGACTGCACCACTTGAGCACCACCGCGCTAATGCCAGGTTGCCTGTTGGTGCGGCGCACCTCCATAAGTCTGGTGGTGACATCATACAGCACCACGCACTGCACCGCACCTTCGGCAGCCTCCTGCACCACTCCTGAAAAACTGCCAAAAACGTATGCATATCCTGCATCTCATTGCGTTATATTCATTCGCCTCAGAAAAACGCACTTTATCTGAAATTCGTAAAAAATATGTTCAATGAATAATAAAAACTATTATTCAACGGTACAGTAAGAACTGGAAGTTTATTTTCACGTTCCAGGTGTTTTGTTGGCGAAGAGTCTCATAAGGGATTGTTCATTAAGGGGGAGGTATACCCTCCAGAAAAACTTTTTTGTTTATGGACGGATCACTCTGAAACTTGGTACACTTATGTAAAATAGAATTCTAAGACATTTTTGTTCGTGTCATTTTTTCGAAAAAATTGATAGAAAACGTGAAATTCATAGAAAACGGACAAAAAAGGAGGTACTGTAGAAATCTATCTCCTCCTTGGGTTTTGAAGCTACAGCGATGAGACATATACCATTCTATTCGTAAAGACCATACCAATGCAGTAACACGGCCCGATTTTTGATTTTTGCTTTACTTTTTTTTACAAGCATTTTCAATTTTTTTCATTTTTTCGCATTCCCCCCCCTTCCCCCCCATTTTGAATCCAAACTATGCACAAATCTAAAAAAAGGGCCGTGTTACTGCATAGGTATGGTCTTTACAAATAGAATGGTATATGTCTCATCGCTGTAGCTTCAAAACTCTAGGAGGAGATAGGTTTTCCGTGACAAAAAGTTGAACTTTTCAGGACGGCGCGACAAAGTTCCGCGCGCCTTGAAATAGTCACTAAATGTAGCATAGCCACGAAACTACAGGCTTCTGTAGCCTAATTCCACTCAAGGATGCTAGGAGCGACTTGCAGAACACCACTCCGCACAAAGCGAAGAGGGTGACTGCAGCAGTGCAGCTTGACTGCTTGATGCCAGATACACCAATATTTTTAGTCTTAAGCCCGGTCCACACGCTCAGTTTTACACAACGATTTGTCTGCGCAGTTCTAATCGTTGCAGATAAAACGTTGCGTGTGGACGGGAAAACTGCGCAGTTTTGGAGCCGGCGGGAAAACTGCGCAGTTCCATCGAAATCTGAGCTCCAGAGCATAGATTTCGATGAACTGCGCAGACAAGTCGGAACGTGTGGACGGTAGCACAGTTTTCTAATTCAATTTGTGCTCAGTTTCAACGATTCTGGCGACAATGGCGGACCTTCGGTAATGTTCTCGGGAATTTATTGCTCTTCTATACGAAAGTTTTTCTTGCATTTGGATAGTAAAATTCAAGGATTATGGTAACAGGACAAAAAGGTGGAGACAAACGAGGGCTTAGTAGAAAAATTCAAAAAAAAAATCGATGAAAGCGCAAACAGAGAAACAGCTGTAAAATGAGTTGAGGAGCATTGACCGTAAATAATTGGGGATAAATAAAAAAATCGATTCCATCTGGAACTGGAGAAGAAGACATCTACAAGCCTGGCAAGCCATCTCTCTTGTATTTTGATTCCTCGCATTCCCTAAATGATCCAGTCTCTTTTTTGGCAAGTCATAATGCCAAAATTTATCAAAATACTGCCTTCTCCAAGGCACGTCACGGACAAATTTACGACCGGACTCGAGGCCGGTCTCCTCAAATTCGATGGGCATGGAATATCTCCCAAAGTAATGAACGTAGCTCGATAAAACTTGGTACACGTATTCATTAAGACCTAACGGTAATGTTTAGCACGTGACAATTTTTTCGATTTTGCCTTCGTTTGAGAGTTATACGGCTTTATCTAATCTAAAAAATTGTCACGAGCTAAACATAGCCGTTGGGAGGTTAGGTTCGTATATTCAAAGTTTCGTTCAAATCTGTACTGTAGTTTTGAAGAAATGTCATGCTCACTGCAAATTTCGGCACGTATCGTCATATAACTCACGAATGAAGGTGAAATTCTAAAAATGTCCACGAGCTAAACATCACCGGTAAGTCCTAATGAATACGTGTACCAAGTTTTATGGAGCTACGTTCATTACTTTGGGAGATATTCCATGCTCACCGAACTGATCGCGCAAAACTGAGCAAACTACTCTGATAAGTCGGCACCGTGTGGACGCTCTAAAAATTGCAACGATTTCATTCCGACTTGAAACTGCGCAGACAAATCGTTGTGAAAACTGAGCGTGTGGACCGGGCTTTAGCGAGTGAATTAAGTCCTATCTATTTTCTGAAGGAAATCCACCCCCGCCCCTCTTTAGAGCCCAGCTGTGTGCGTTAAAATTCACTCACAGCTATCGCAGTAGTATCGTTGAAAAGCTCAGAATGTCAGCTTTAAGATGAGACTAAGCATGTAACTGCAGCACAACTCAAGTAGAAACTATATTCAAAGATTTCAGCAGCTATTTACTTTATATCTAATTAGTTAAAGAACTCGCCCACCCGCTTCCCTTTAAAGAGACGTCATGAACGTAAATATTTACGTGCAGAGATGGCAGTGGTACCATTGGGAAGAGCAGAATTTCAGCTTTAAGATGAAATTAAAACCCAAAAATGCCAAATCCGAAAATTTTAGGGTATACCTCCCCCTTAATCGTAGTCTGCCACGAGATCTCACCGCAGTAGCGGTCCAGTAGGGTTGGCAGCGCTGGGTCGTGCTTCGAGGTTGTCACCACTGAGATGAGCTTCCCTGCGTGCGGATGGCGCCCTTGCTTGTCTCTGGGTGAGGTAAGGGTCCGCCGGCACCGCAATCGCCTCCCCCACATCAACTCCCTCACTCTCAAGAAGGTCCTGTCATGAATTAGTCGCAACGTGCACAATTTAATCAGGAGTGAGGTGCAGTTAAGCAACTAATGTGTGACTGCAGCAGCAGATCATTTTTTTTATTTTGGGAGGATTAGAAGCTCTTTGAATGAACATTCAGTCATGGATCAAGAGAATCATTAAAGTTGAAAGAATTTCGCTACGCACTCTAGTTTGCGGATCGCAATCAGCCAGAGTGATGTTCCGGCCGTATAAGTTGAGCGTGGTGCCCAGCGTTAGGTCAGTAAAGTTGTAGCAGCGGTTAGGGTAGGCGTTGTGAGGTACAGGCTGGCGTGATAGCAGCACGCCTTGCTGGAGTCCTGAGTTCTGTTGATCAATGGAGTTTTCGGGCATTAAAGTTGATGGAAAGGATAATCAAGATGAGGAATTCAACTTTTATCAACACCAGCGTGCTGAAAACAGTGAAATTTTTTATAGAAGTAGCAGCAGGTTGTGGGAACATGTTGTATATAATATTAATCGGAGTCGTTTCTTCATTTGGAGCACCTGTAACCACTGTACTCTAAGTGAGTATACGTCTGGAAAAAATATAGTAGTCTAAAATTCGTCTAATTATGTAATAGTTGTAATAATGCCTTGTTAATCGATTGCTGTGGGATCTATATGGATCAAAATAGTGAAAGGTTTTTCGGTCACTCAAAATTTTGAAAATGCCAACTAAATTGAAGCCTTATTAAATATGCGCTAATAAGTGAAGAACTTGTCACTTATCTACACAATATCGCTGTCAACTTCATTGAGTTTATGCTGACGTTGTGGAACTCCTACAATTTCAGGATTTTGTTCATTATTAATATAATGTAATATCGTGTTGTCAGTTTTGACAATTCGTGTCGCCCATTCTTAACCACCCGGCCATCTTTCTGATTTCGACCAGAATTTTCACAACTAGTTCCAGGTTTCAAACCTCAACTAGTTGTTCAAATCTGGGTATCTAATCACTCAGGTACTCCTAGCTAAACACAGCCTCACAGCCACGGCCACAGGTATGTATGCTGAGATACATAGATTCCTGAGTTTTAATCGTTAACAGTACAAATTCCGTACCTATTGGCCTCGAAAGATACTTGTTTACAGCAGACTCGATGCTGGTAAACACTATTGCCAAAAAAATGTAAATTCGTATTTAAGCAACTAGAAGTTACAAAATAAATATTTATTTGAATATTTTTTATTTTTCATGAAGACACCACAGACTCACGGGCACTCTCGGCTCGAGCAGCTCGATGGTGTGGTCACTCATGAAGTAGCGCAGCACGACATAACGAACGCAGTACTCGTCCCTGCTTGGCAGTGCGACGCTGGCGCTGCGATTAGGAGGTAGTGAGACGCTGGTGTCTTGCATCACCTCCTTCTCTAGACTCAGGTACTGTTGAAAGTAGCCTTGGAAACGCAGTATCTGGTCAAAACAAAACGCGTTTTTCTTTTTATGTTAGTTAACTCACTCAGTTTCATGCGTACGTATATGATGGTGTGAAAATTTACATATCGTCCAAATTCGGTTGCTTATCACGCTAAATGCGACAAGGGCAGGGTGGCCCAGCGTTTACAAAAAGTGCAATGAATTGCGGGTTCGAAACCAGGTTTTAGGAATTCTGCGATGCTAGAATTGGCAAATGCGTGCTTCTTTAACTGTTGTTATCGCTAAAATCGTTTCCAATCGTCCATAATACAAATTTTGTAGAAAAATACAACGATAATATTATCAATTCAAAGATCGTCATGGAGGAAGTGTTCTTTATTATTGTATTAGCTAAATTGATGCAATCATCTATTCATCATCAGCTCGCATTCAAACATTTCCGGTCGTAAGAAAGTAACACATCACATTGCCAGTCATGAGTACATCACGAGAAAACAAGGAACTATGAATAGTTCACCCTCATTCCGCAACTGTATTCTGCTGAATTATTTACAGCAATAGAGTTAAATCACTTAAATGTACAGGTGTCGGGTTGTGCACTAAACCTGCTTCTCTTTGATGACCCAGGGTGGCGTGAAGACGGGTGCTGACTTGCTCCGAGCGAGGCGGTCACCCAACTGCAGCTGCAACGCTGCACTGCTCAACAAACAATGCGATGTTACATTACCAGTGATAATCTACATGCAACAGCAAACATTCAGGACAACTGTAAATCAGCAAAACAACTGCAAATCTGCACACAACTGCTAACCTGCAGAACAATTGTTTATCTGCAGAATATCTGTAAACCTGCTGAACAACTGGAAACCACGCCACGGCTTTAAACTTGAGAAACAATTGTGAAGCCACGACAGCCATGACAGGATGCTTTGCTACACTAGAGACCACACGTGAACTTGATGATGCTAGCTCAATGTCCTCTACTGCGACACGAGACCCTACTTCTGCTGAACGGCCACACTTTCACTCTTACGTAGCAGCGATAAAATATTAATTTCGGTCTCAGCGTTTATTAGGACGTAGGCCTGTCGCCGATTCTTAACATCACAGAACATTCACAGCATTTTGCGGTCACGAACTCGCAACTCACTGCTACAATTCTGCTGTGTTTAACCGCCCGGCTTCCTTGCCGATTTTGACCAGAAACTGGCACACAGAGCTGCGATCGAACCCGCGCCTCTCTGCGCCAGTCCTGGTACTTAGAACTTTAACCACTGGGCCACCCTGCCAGTGGTTAAGAGACGAGACCACACCTTTGCAGGACGGTCAGACTCTCATTCTAACATAGCAGAGATGCCTCACAAGAAACTACCTCTGCAGGACGGCGAGGTCTCCCATAAAAACAGGAGGTCGAAGTCTGTCGCCTGGCGTCCCTTCTTCCCTCATCACGGCCACGCCGTTGTGCCACTGCAGCAACTGCCTCTTCGGGAACGCACTCCGCTGCGGAAGACGCGCTTGAATTAATTTCGTTTTGGGTCGTTGAAAGTCCTAATTTGGAAAAATGATTCATGTTGTAGAATAAACTTGGAGATGGTAATTCCGCATAAAACCTTTTGAAAACATTGCCAAGCGGCCACTACCTCAACAAAAATCCAGAAATATCTATCCCGGTTTAGCCGAGCAGCTGGCGATCTCAAGCGCTTCGTGCTCAATTATTTCCGCTTTTAAAGAATTGGAGAAAATATAATGCAGATCTTGTGATAGACATTACCTCATTTTCAAAACGCACCATTAACTCACCCTGACCAAGTGGGACTCCGGCAAGCCCGGCAACAGAGGTACTCTACCGCCCCCAGTGTCTCTGAAAATTAGACATGAAACAACGCAGTTGCTTATAATAAAGGCACAAATTTATCGATAAAAACGCAAACAATGGAAAAAATTAATAGCTGAATAACGGGCTTTAAATTAAACCTCTGTTGGGTAATTTGATGAACGTTATCGTAAAATACTTTTACTAAAACTTTATCTCTAACTGTATGGGAATCTCATGAAAGAAGCCATCGATATAATTGTACCCTACGTACATTGATGTTGTAACCGAATTCTGAATGTTAAGATAACGGAATTCGCGTGTCAGTCCCGAATATTGACGGCTTCAAAATGACTGCTCCCTTGGAACAAACAAAACAAGACGACAAGCTATTTGTTAGCGAGAAGCAGACTTGAACATGGATTTTCATCCAAAATAAATAAGATTATGACAGGAATACCGGCCGCAGAGTAGGCAATTCAAACATGATGTGCATCATTGCAGCTACATGAAGACGTTGCACTCACAGGTTAGTGGCAGACGGCATCGCTTCCGTTGTTTTCCCCTTTGTTCAAGTTAAAATTCTTGTATTTGTGAAAGAGATGGAATGTACACAAAGAATGTGTACTTTTTCAAGTGCATAAGTTTTCACAACTTTGAAATTGCATTGCTGCTATTTAGATGAAGATGACGACCGATTAGACGAAGTTTCTCGGTAGGAATATCATAATGTAGAAAATGGGGACTCGGAGGTTTCTTTCCAAGTCAGCAAATCAAAAATAGTGCTAAGCCACGCTAGAGCAAAATTAGTATTGGATGACATCTCGTTTTTAAGGTTTTAATAACAACCTTGATGCCTTGGAATACATGCCAATTATTTTGCAAAAAATAAATGCATAGCATAAAGAGTCGAGTAAAAAGTACGGCTACCGGGAGTGGAACATCGAGGCAAACTTGGACTCTTTAATGGACCGTCGTCTTGACAACAGCGTCGTAGGTTACCATGGCAACGAGGCATCGAAACCTATGGTACAGTTGATCAGAAAAATTACAGGTTTTACTTTCAACTTTAAATACAAAAATACGAGCGAGCTGTTTATTCTCGGAGAACTTTCTTGAACGAGTGTAATTTAATGTTCAAAGTTGAAAATTCCACAAGAGGACCACTCAATATTCAAATGTAATGCAAGTGCTGAGATAAAAAGATAACGTACCTCACCTCACAATTACTTCTTGAAAATAAAGGTAAAACCAATGGTTCGCTAAATACATATTATTTGGCGATTATGCAACTCCTTCAATAACCTACACGCGAGTAAACACAGTTAAGCATTCACTTTAATACCTACACAAAAATAATCTAAGGAAAAATAAAAAAAGCCGACCAGGAATCACGTTTACGGGAGACATGGAACTAATCTCAACAAATTTATTGGAGTAAAACTCATTTAATTTTGCCAGCTGCCTTCTTCTTCTGCTTCTTGGCTTCTTCCTCATCGATGGGCGCTGGCTGCACGAAGGGGATGAACTCGCTGTACTCTGGAGACGTGAAAATCTCGTCAGAATTTTGTCATGATATGACATCAATAAGCAGACTCTCTTCAGAAAATACGTGAGCCGTGAATTTAGGCAAGAATTATTGTTTCTAGATAAATCACAAACGAGTAAGTAACACGATTAGGTCTGCCTTGCTACTCTAAGCTTGCGAATTCGAGGTTACACGTTTTAATGAATGCATTATATTCAAAATTTAAATATATAGGGTTATTTGAAATGATGGACCTTATTTAATAAATTCGTATTTCTCAAAGAATAAATTCCAAATAAAAAATCTATACACCAATGGAATGAGAAAGATTCAAAGTTTTCTTTACATATTAAAAATGTTCAATAAATACAATTGTACCTCTTGTGCTGCACGGCAAACATCTAAATTCTAAATGGTACCAAACTCGTCCCAACGCATACGATAGGACGCGTAGGAAATGAAAATTTCGCTCCACACTTCTGGCCTCCGGAACACCTGATCTCACCCCATGTGACTATTTCTTATGGGGTTGCGTCAAGGAAGCTGTTAACGTACCGCCTCTACTGATCTGGTTGATCTGAAGAACCGTATCACCGCTACGGTGCGCTCAGTAACAGAAGATATGCTTTCTCGTGTGCGGGACGAGTATGGCTACCGTTGAGATAGATGTTTGCCGTGCAGTATAATGTTGATATATTCAACATTTATGAAAGTGTAAAAAAAAAACTTTAAATTTTTCTCTTTCCGCTAAAGTATAACTTTATTATTTTGAATTTTTTACTCAAATATATACGATTTTATCAAATTGGCTGGCTCCATCAACTAGAATTATCCTGTATAATTTCATTGAAATTAAATTTAAAAAAATTTAATTCTGAAAATCACTTTACTCATTCGCAAAATCTGCTACAATATTTTTTTATAGTAGGGCATTCCCAGGTATGGTTGTAACTCGAGGCTCAATATAGTGATTAGCATGATTTATGAAAGTATTCGTTTTGTAATTAAATGTTAAAAAACGGCACTTGCATCTTAACACGAACTTATTCAACCCAGATGCAATACTCTTAGTTGTGGGACCAATTCTGAGTTAACACCACTCGATTCCGTGCCTCAACAATGAGAAGTTTAGCGGCCTGAATTTTCGGCAATAATATTTGACATTCAATTAGATGACATTTATAAGTGTACACCAAACGTAAGCGCTGTAACTGCACAAAAATTAACCTTGTACGTTGACGCTAACAACACTAAGTATCACAAAATTGCTTGCCGATGAGCTTAAAAAGAATTATGAGGCAGGAAGAACAAGATACCTGCCGGCATTAGGAGGCAAGTAGAACAACGCACCTGCCGGCATGTACTTGCGCAGCGCCTCAGGCACGGCGACGCCCTCGTCCGTCTGGTGCGTCTCGAGCAGCGCGCAGATGACGCGAGTTGTGGCGCACATCGTCGCGTTCAGCATGTGTACGTACTCCACCTGCCATTATTAATCAATATTAATCATCGTTGCGTTCAGCATGTGTACGTACTCCACCTGCCATAATTGATCAATATTAATCATCGTCGCGTTCAGCATGTGTACGTACTCCACCTGCCATAATTGATCAATATTAATCCTCGTCGCGTTCAGCATCTGCACGTACTCATCATGCATCATTAATGTTAATATAGGTATTAAAAATGATTAATATTGATGAAAATCTTAATGACACCAATATTAATCGTAGTTACCCCAGCAATATAACACTCTCACCTGCCACGAGATGCTAGATAAGAGAACTAATAAGGTTATTGATGTAGCTTAATTGACTAACTGATAGACTAACTAGTCTTAACTATTATTGCGCAATGAAGGGCTTCAAAGACGAACCAATGAGCAGATATATTTGTCTATGATCGTCTATATGTTGTTGCAATAGTTCGTTTTTATACCTTGGGTTAAATTTTAAATATATGTGAGACGGAGGATCGAGATACTAGATAGGAAAATTGATATATATTTTCACTAGTTAAATAAACTGCCCGAAGAAAGAACTACGATGAGGAGAAAGACCACCGCACCCATTAATACCTTTAGGACAGTTAATTACCGCAATGCACATGAAAATTTTTTTTTACCCTTCGATTAAAAGAGCCGCAAACATATGAAAACTTAGAACATTGTTTATTGGCAACATAAATTGGAAAACTCACGGCGGCGTTCATCTGCTTGGTGGCACCATATCGGACGCGCAGGCGCCGGCTCTGGTAGTCCGTGCAGTTGGAGCACGACACGAGCTCCCGGTACGCGCCTGCAGGAACATGACGCCTAACTTTACAACCATCATTAATTAAAAAGTAAATAAAGCAGCAAGTAAATTCATCACATCTTCATCAGAAAGATTTAAGATGATAAAAATAGCGAAATAAACATCGACAGATGCTGTTTTTAAATGTAGGTTTTCCTGAGCTTCTGAATTCTTAAACTCGCGATTTAAGTAGACTAATAAGTTATATACTTGAACAATCAACGGTAGCTATTTTTCAAGAAAATCAGGAGGGTAAATTTCAGTTGTCAAGATAAAGTTTTAGTTGAAAACATGCGAGGTGTCCAAGACTTGATCTCGGCACTGATAAATCGACACAAAACTATCAACGAAGCTTGATAGCCAGCCTTACATTTTTGTAATTCAGTAAGACAAGGAAATACGCACCAGACGCTGGGAAGTAAGCCTCCAAATCGAGCTTCTTGGCCGCAGCGTTGTTCAGCTCTCCAGAGACAATGTTCACTACCTGAAATCATCATCACATTATCATCGGCAGATTCAAGTTAGATGTGAAACTTTATATTTTTCGTCACATAAAAATTACAGATTTTTGCCCTAATTGAAAGAAATGAAATATATTCAGTTGCGAATTCTATAAAACATCAATAATAACAGTTTTCCTTCTTCAACATCTTAATTTTTTTCTCAACCATGCCGCTATACTCTAAAAACATACTAGTGCTCCCTATAATATAAAAATTTATCACTTAAATTAATTACCATCGCTAATAATGCAGACCATAGATATGCTCTTTTCTACAGCAAATCAAAACTGGGAGCTAATGTTCCGTGCACATAAAACATCAAATGATAATATACATGAGCACCACTTTAATCCTTCAGTCATATCCACTGTCCTGTACCTGGTAAGAGAGCCCAAGGGCCTGGCACAAAGCCTCACTGTTGCTCATCATCTCCTCGAGGGCTTCCCATGAGGCGTTATCGTGAGGGGACGTCAGAACAAACTGCTCGACCTGCACACACAAAAGAGGCATGTACACCCATAAATGTCGTACGACTGCAACGGCTTTAATATCCTCTATCAATAATTGAAAATCTGAGTATTCGTTGGATAAACATAATACATAATAGTTTAATCCTGCTAGCTACACCAAGAGACATGACTGGCATAAATTTTAGCTTTTAGGACAAAAGCCTCGACTCACGTACACTTTTTTGTTAAAAAGATTTGACCACAGATAGGGATGCAACACACGATGAACATGAAATCTCCAATTGAAAAATGATAAAGCATTTTCTTTGATCAAGTACGACATCAGATAAGTGAGATACAATTGGGAGCTGCGATGGGTTCTCATTGTTGGAGAGCAAAATGAAAGTCACCTTCTGGAACTGGTGTACCCTGAAGATGCCGCGCGTGTCTCGCCCATGCGAGCCAACCTCTTGACGGAAGCAATACGAGATGCCAGCGTACCTGACCAGCAAATGATAATACTCAACTGAATGTTTAATGAAAACTTTTTGAAATAACTAATAATAATGATGATATTTCTAAATATTACATGAAACAGCAAGAAGTAGATAAAAAAGTTTCGTGACTCGACACGCGGAACGGGAGAAAGATCAGACAGGATGGTCAAAATTTTTTAGTATTTATTTAGAAATTCAACAGGCAAAAAAGTATCACTAAGGAACACGTATTCAAATGCAATATTTCATTCCTCCTTTATTGAAGACGGTCATCAAAGTTTGGTCTATTATATAATAATGAAGAAGTCACACCTTCATTTAAATGTCGGTCATTCAAAGGCAAATGAAAAAGTGTAAGATTTTAGCTACGCTAAAACTCAACCGTGTCACTCAATTAGCAAAATTTAAAAACAAAAATTTAAAACTAACGCAAATTTGAGTGAGCAGTTATTTGGATAAATTGGCTAAACATACATCATAATTAAATCATTAGGTAATGATAAATAGCCGCACATATGCATGTATGGATCAATTTCGGCACTGAAAAATTAACTTCGCGATCTACAGTCCGTCCCGAGTATAATACTAAGTCGGCCAATTTAACTTTTTACTCGAGAAAGCTTTTAACTAGGAAATTTGTTTCTGCATGATCGACTACTGACAAGCTGCAGGAGTCCTAAGTTCATCTAAATTACACTACAAGGAAAAGGATCGTTCTAAAATAAATTAGAGTACATGACTCACCTGATGGGCAGCTGGTCCTTGGGGATCCATTCGTCCCTATGGAAGGCAGCGATGGGCTGCTCGCTGGTAGCTATGAGGTACTTGTCATCTTCTCCTCCCTCAGCGCCTTCGCCCTTGCCCGTTACCTTCAATCAATAGCACAATATACCTATCATGTACTAAACAATTACACGATAATAGTAAACAAAAAGTATTGAGGTTTCTGTAGCCAAGAGCTTTGTCGCAATGAAAAAAAATTAACAAAGAAATACTCATTTATTGATCTATTCACAAGTTGAGACAGTAAAATTACAATATGAATTCTCTCAGATGATGAACAATCTAATAGGGTTAATGCCTACAACTGAAGCAAAAGTTTCAAACTAGAAAAAGTTAAATGTTCAGATTATTTTGACTTGCATATAAGAGGGCATTTAGACGGAACATTTTCAGACCTTGTAGAGCTCTTCATCAAACTGCGAGAGCTGCGCCACCTCCTGCATGACCTCCTTGCGTACGAAGAACGGCGTCACGATCGGCGTGAACTTCTTGGAGCGCAGGTAGTCCAGCGACCAGTCCACCACAGCGCGCTCCAGGGCCACGGCCGGCCCAAGAAGGTAATATCCTCGACCACCTGTACATCAATTTACAAACACTGCTCAGGAGTTACATGAACAACATACATACGGCTTATGCTAAATACATACTCTTACAGGCAAAAAAGTTACTAGAGCACAGATAACTATAAATTCAATGAATAAAACAAACTGAACTATAAATTCAATGAATAAAACAAACTGAACTATAAATTCAATGAATAAAACAAACTGAATTTACACGTAAGAAAGATACTAAAAACGACGTATTAAAAACTATTGATTGAGAAAAGAGAAACACAGTCGTAAGTAACATAAGTAACACTGGGTCAAATTTCACATCAGCGTCAACAAATGTACAACAATCCACACTCAGGAACAACAGTTAACATCACAAAAAATCAGCAAATTGCTCTAATGGAGCTTGAAGCCTCTTCAAAAGTTATCTTATCGTATTGAAAGTAAACTATATACTTCCAGAAGGACATTGCTGTCAAGATTATATAATACATGCATGGCCTAGAGACTGATGCTATTGGAAATAATATTGGAGACTGATATTGGAAATGATATTGTAGACCCATTTGGAAATGGAGTGAGATTTACCAGCAGTAACGGTGCCTCTTTTGGCGTCCACGCCCCCGATCATGTGTATGAGATCCACATGAGAGTACTTCTTGCTCAACTTTTCGCCCACAGTTCGCACTATGCCGTTGTTGGCCTGTGTAAAGAACATTATTTGCATGGGTTGACATATTTCATATCTGAATGAATCCTACGGAAATATGACAATTAGAAGTATAACAACGAATAAGATTATATGGGCTAACATATTTCAGATTTGAATGAATCCTTCTAATACCCGACAATTTGAAGTATAACAACGAATACTTAGATTCATCACATGAGAATTTAGAGATCAAGATTTAACATATAAGTAAAGTTGTACTTTTATGGGATTGAAAGACCTCAATAACATAGCACTACTCCAATAATAATGACCTCAATAAACTACTCAGTTAAGCCATTAATTTATGAAATATGGATCATGATAACCTGATAGATAAAAGGGTATGCTGCACAAGAAAATATACACTCAAGTAACAGGAGAGAAGAAAATACAATAAAGCATTTTGGCAAACACTTTGCGAGTGTCTACTCTACTTTGAGATCTTGTTGATTGGTCCCTGTGATACGGCACTGGTTAACCCAAAGTCCCAAACAGATGAATTAGCATGGAAACAAACAATAACTGAAATTTGTGTTGTGTCAATAAATGTTCAAGTTTAAAGTTGTAATAATGTCATGAGACAGAATATTCTAATTTAAGTACTTAGGTGTCAAAATGTAATATAATAAAAGAAAATATTGTATGGCACCTCATCGTTGCTGACAACAACGCTGTCATGCACAATGTTTCCAATCTCCTTAAGTATGGCGTCACGCTGAGCTTCAGTTGAAGATAGGGTCGTGTTGTTCTCAGCCACTGTTTCCTCCACCAATTTTTTCACCTGCACAAAAAAAGAGATGTTGAATTCACATGTAAAATAATTAAAATGCATGCTGATAATGAAAAATTTAGAAAGTTCAATTACATATATTTCAACCAATAATGTGGATCATTTGGAGGTAAAATTGAAAAAATAAAAATAATTAAAATCTAAAAATATTGTAGTTATAAGATTTGGCAACTGACAATTCTCTTCTAACATTAAATGTAATCTAACCATGCATTAGCAAATCAAATTACCTACATCGACCTTTTGCTGATTGTAAGGAATGTGTGATGAAATGAACATTCACAACCAAACAGTTCATATTTAAAAAATTACACCTAAATAATTAAATTGGACATGCTATGGATGTGATAGATTTATATATCAGCAAGCAAAAGCTTCAAAGCAAACTACAAAGACAGCAAGTAGGATTGCTTATTGTGATAAGTTATAGTGAGAGCTGACTAAATATTATGACATCAAAGAAAAAACAATTATTTCATGAGAAAACTTGACCAGCTCAATGTTTTGGCTATGCAAGCAACATTCAACGTTTCAACCTAAATTATTTGTTGGATTTTTGTAACTGTAAAACATGCTTATGAGAAATATTCACCTTGTCACATTAACAGCAATTATTAGTTGCTTACTTCCTTGAGTTGGGAGACAGTGAGAGGCCTTAGAATTTCTGGTGTGAGTTCGAGCAGAGCTGCCTTCACATTGTCAGGGATGTTGGTCTCTGTACCCTCAGCCTCTTTAGCCTGCACAGAGATCATAAATCTAAGTCATGGTACAATCAAGACAAGAGAATTCTTCCATTCAAGCCTATAGGATTAGTATGTTAATGATGTATAGTATGGCTCAATACAATAAACTATAATTTGACTTGCTGAAAAGAAACAGGAATAATTTCGGTTTGGGAACACAGGCAATAAGAGTGGATACATATTTCTAAAGCAATAGGAACCTTAAATTATTCTGCACCTTGTAGCAACATCAATAAATAATGAGCATGCAGATAATAACTCTACATTCAATAATTATAGACTAAACTATGGTAGATGTTATTAAAAACATGAATGAAAGCCCCAACTTCCATAATAAGCTGTTAAAACATCTATGATATGTTTCATAATAAATAAGTACTGCATTACTATGTTACAGTGGTAACTGAATAGCTTAAGGACACAGCGCATGCCCTCTTCTGTAGCAATAACCCTAGGCCTTCATTCATTTGAAGAATAGGTAAATTACATATCATGTGCAATGCCATCCATTAAATAGGCATTAAAATTTATTTTTCACATCAAAAAGAGGGTTTCTCCATACAATTGTGAACATATTAATTTTAATGAATGAATGATTATAGTAGAATGATAAAATCTCTGCTTTCAAACTAGGCATTGACATGTATATGTGGCATCAATGGATATGGTGGTGACCTTGTGTGTGATTAGGGATATTGACAGTCATTTGAGTGTTAATGTTAATAATAATAAATAAATTTTACCCAAAAAAATGCATTCATATGTACAAGACATAATGAAGATTCATTCATTGTATTTATTTGAAATTGAGTTCATTCCTGGAGCATCCAAGGCAATTTGGGTTAAAGGTTTATTGACTTGTGAACTCTTAACAAAACACATATAATCTAACTATCATAATCTAACTATCTAACTTATAATCTAACTATCTAACTTATAATCTAACTATCATAACCAAAGTACATGATCATCTAGGTTGGCAGTACAACAAATGAAGCTTCCACAGGAATCTAAGAGGCTAAATCTAATATGAAAAATACAACAAAACCTTTAATTTTAAGACAAAATAATCATTCCCAGAAAATAATTAAAATCTTTATACAGATATTAAGATAAAAAATTAAATAAACACAGCACAAAATAGAAAGAAATAAATAACAAAACAAATGCCAGCATTATAGATAAATTTTTATCTGCAATGGAATTAACAGAAATCTGAACTGTAGATAAGAAAGGTTATGGATTTGCACTTAAATAATCACTGGCATAGGAATACATGCACTAATAAAGGAATGCTGAGTGCTAACCAGCATACAATGAGCTGAAGTTGTGGCCAGAAGCATGTCTCTAGATGGCAAATTTTTGCAGTCATCTGCAGAGAATGAGGAGATGTGCTGGCGCCATCTCCAAACAGAGGGATATTCAGCTCCACATATAGGCACGAGACCATGTTTGGTCAGCCGTAGAAGTAATGAATTGTCAGAAGTGCTGGGCAAGTGGCCACACACATAACTGTACTGAGTCAGGTGGTTCTCAAGAGCTGCCAAGCATGGAGGTCTGGTTACAGTACTGGACTGTTCTACTGCTACACCAGCACTGTTACTACCTTCTGCAGTTTTGATAGCAGCAGCTTCTGCCTGGCCAAAAATCAGTCATGAATAACACTTTACTGATGTCTCAGCAATGGCTTTATTTCTTGTAATAAGTTAATACACATACATTCTACACCATAGGCCCACAGAATTGCAAAGCTCTAAAACTATGATTACCACTTCACACTATCCACATTTTAAATGGAAATATAGATTAAAATATAAAGTAGTAAAATTACAGAAAATGTCTTTTTCCTTTTTCCAGTAACATGATCATTCAGGGATAACTCGACTTTGGGTAAACACCATTAGCACAATTATGATTAAGCCCAAAACAGCAATTTTGTCAAGTGTTTCAAGTAATTACTTGTGTCCTGCTCTCTAATTTTTCTGCAGACACCTAAAGTTTTCTTTCCCCAAAAAGATTTACTAATCATTAGAGGAAGTTAAAGGAATTTCTGTATGATCAGTAAATTAGAACATACAAAAAAAATTCACCATCACTCATGTTTTACCACCAATCTTTATCATCAAGATCAGCACAATTTTTTTATAAATTTTTTCAATGAAGCTCTAAGTAAATTTAAATATTGGTTCAAGATATTGTCCTGATTGACTAGCAAGTCAAAATTTTTTCAAAGAATTAAAACTCTGATTTGAATTCAAAGTTTGAGGGCTAAAACCAATAAAAATTTTATTGCCAGAAGATTTAATGTGGATAAAATAGAAGGTACATTTCTTCATAATTAATTTTTCTCCAAACCCAAAAGAAAGCATAGCTTTGCTATAATAGGCATATTATACACATAAATATATGTATATATATTGTCAAGCTAAGCTATACAAACATATTTCTCTCAATGTGTAGGTATAGTGTAGGTATACATATATATATATATATATATAAGTTTTCTTTTTCATTATTTTGCAGTAAAACTGTCACACTATCCCACAACATATTAGTAACTACAACAACAGTTCTATTCCAAAATAAAATCCCAATGCCATTATTTCAATTAGCTATGAAATATATTTTTTTTAAACAGAAAAGAGATTAACAAAAATTTGACAGGAATTTGTAATCTTACAGATAACTTATCCAGTGATATATATAGATAACAAGGATACTTACTTTCTTCTTTTCACCAACAGTTTTGGAGATGACATTTCCCATGCGATTCAAAAGGTCTGCATTATGGCGAGCTGAAAAATAAAAGAAAGTTTATTCAATTAAGGATGCCAGGTTTACGAGTTATAGAAGGGAAGTTATGCATTGAGTATCTCAAATACTGACCATACAAATTGTTGAAAAACTAAGCACATTACATAAATAACTTTCTTTTTATGCTATTCATGATTAAAATAATAATCTTAAAAAATGTATCACCAAAAAGATAATGAACAATAAAATTATCTTTCATTGTGGGTTAAAAAAATAGTTGAATAAATGGTTTATACAAATATAGTTTCAATTACCCTGCATACAAGAGAATCATAATAGTAACAGAAAAAAAAGTTCTGTTAAAGGCATTTTGAAATAATAGGAGAAATATGTATACTGTAAAAGGGGGTTACTTAGACTCCCGGGTCATAGAACCCCCTCCAATTTTTTTATTTTTTGGTAAAATGACTCCAGGTTTTGGTGCATTGTAGTAGAACTCTTCTAGTTACATATGCAAAAGACAAATTTTAGGAAAGTGTCATAGTTTGCAAATGGGGGGCGCTGCCCCCCAATGGGGAACTTTGACCACCTAATGTCAGCCGTGACGGGGTAACATAGACCGGCTTGGAAATTAATTTAAAATTACCATATATAACATATTTTATGTTTGATACACCTATTAATGATTTTTCTTTATGTTTCAGACTCTACAGAGTCTTATATATGGTAATTTTAACTTAATTTCCAAGCCGGTCAATATTACCCCATCATGGCTAACATTAGGTGGTCTAAGTTCCCCTATTCGGGGGCTGCGCCCCTCATTTGCAAACTAGGTATGACACTTCAAATTTGTCATTTACCTATGTAACTTGAAGAGTTTTACTGCAATGCACCAAAACCTGGAGTTATTTTACCAAAAAAATATAACTGATTTTACCACCCGGTCAAAGAAACTCCAAGAGCTGGGGTAACAAAGACCATCACTTTTTTTGAAATTACATCAAAACTATGAGAGGCAGGAGCCACCAATAATGGTGAGTGAACCTAGAATATAGACCTGTATATTGCACGTTTCAATTCAAGTTTAATTTAGCTAGTAAAACATGGCATCATTTAAAGAAAAAAGTAGTTTAAGTTACCCCCTTTTATGGTACATGGTAATGAGTTGTTTATTAATATTAATTTATTTACCGCTTTACCAAGCTTTCTCTTGGCAATGGTGGCTATATTTTCTTTTATTCTCATTGATATATCAGGTCTCACTTTCAGTTTAATCTATAGTGAAGGAAATGGTTTTATTTGTCATTTTAGGGCAAAATTAGATCATTCTGAGACCTAAAACAAAATGTGCTGCTGTGCAAATAAGTTGGCAGCTTAAAACTAGTTATATAATATATTTGAATTGAAAAATTAATTCACAGCAAAAAGTAATTACTGGATTAGCAGCTGAAATGCTTGCAAATCCAATGAACTTATGGTTTCAAAAATTAATTTGCAGCTTTGGATATACAGTGGGGGGAAATAAATATTCGTACACTTGAAAAATTGTATTTTAATGTATGTAAGTACACAAACTTAACAGGAAAAGTGATTACATTGAGATTTAATTTCTTTTGATAGTATTTTTGAATACTATGCGTCTCTATACATAATTTAAATCACTTTTCCTGTTAAGTTTGTGTACTTACATACATTAAAATACGATTTTTCAAGTGTACGAATATTTATTTCCCCCCACTGTAAGTATAGAACTGCCCTTCAAACATAATTTGTAAAATTCCTACTCAATTAAAAATTTTTGCAGCTTCAAAGTGCTATTTTCAATAATTTTGGAACCTCGCCACTTCATTGTGTAGGTCCTGTCAAACGGGGTAATAAGGGACGGTTTTGAGCATTTTTCATTGATAACTTCTTACCATGAAACATGGTCATAAACAAGTTTGGGCTCATTTAAAAGATCTTTGCAAGGGCTATATCTGCAAAAAATTTCATATGCTATTCATATGGTGTCAGATGCAAAACAAAACTGTCCCAAATTACCCCTGGGAATGGGTTAATAAGAGACACTTGAAATAAAACTTAATTTCAATATGTTTCAAGCATGCAAGTGTACTCATATATTATCAACAGTACTGTAAACTCTGAAGTCCTCCTCTTCTTTTGTAGATGATCTGATAATGTATATGTAGATTAAATGACATTTCTGTGATCTTTACTCGTTTTTCCTTCACTGATATGATATTACCATATCCATATATTACCATAATATTGATGTGATATTACCATATCCATGGACATGCCATTGAGCTTTGATGATGCCTTTGTCCACTGCAAGCTTCACATGAGCCATCTAGCATTTCTTCTGTATCTGTATGCTTACAGGATGGCTTGTAATTTTGCACCATTTTAATTGGGTCAAGTGAATTCACTTTAACAAAAAAGGTTGTATAATAAACATATGTGCAGTGTGGAATTCTAGAGGGATATTAAATTAACCAGTACACATAGCATATTGGAAAGCAGGACCTGAAAGCTTAGAAAGGCCAGGAACTTTCCACTTTCGGTCAGGGTTGGCAATGATTAAATCATGTGATTAAATCACTTGATTTTTTTTTTAAATCATGATTTATTTTTATTTTTTTCATATATTTAAATATATTGAGTGGCAACCTTTAATTTATATTGAGGTATTGTTATTCATGGTTTAGTATAAATGTACTATGAATGACAAATTGGTATATAAACTTGTTGCCTTTAGTGTGTATTAGGTTCCAATAAATTGAATGTTTTTGGTACAGAGGCATCAAGTGTGCAATACATTGTACGTAGCTAGCAGCTTAGCTAATTCTTATAAGGCTATAAGTAGTCTTAACTATTTGACTATTTGTTATATATTGATTACAATATACAATTTAAACGTGTTAGCTAGGTTATGCAGGGTGGGGCAGAACTGATTAAACAGGTTCGAGGCAAAATAAAAGAGTAATGGAGGTACATAAAGCAGAAAGTTTATTTTCCTCAAGATTAGCATAACATACCATTTAAAATACTTATGTTTTGAAAACAATATCAGGAAGATGGCGTTTGTTAGCTGCAACACACTGTTGGAGTCGTTCTTGGAAGTTTCCTACAGCACGTTCACACATATGGCAAGGTATGGCCATAACCTCAGCTGCAATAATCCATTCCCTTGGCTGTGGTAGGGTGTGAGGGCGACTTCTGAACCCCTTTCTTTTAGATGTCCCCAAAGAAAGAAATCGCAAATGCTCAAATCAGGTGACCTTGCAGGCCACTGTAAATCACCCCTCGGAGACAAAAGACATCAGGGAGACATGCGTTTCAAAACATTGAGTGACATTCAGGCTGTGTGAGCTGTAGCCCCATCCTGCTGGAACCACATGTCTCCCAATGCTTCACTTTCAACAATGTGTTCCATCCTGGGCTGCAAGAAATTTTGCATCATTGCAGCATAGGGATTGGAATTCACTGTCACAGTTACTCCTCCTCTGAGAACAACTCCAACAGTGTGTTGCAGCTAACGGTCCCCATCTTCCAGATATTGTTTTCAAAACATAAGTATTCTAAATGGTATGTTATGATAACCTTTAGGAAAATGAACTTTCTTCTTTATGTACCTCCATTACTCTTTTATTTTACCTCAAAACTGCTCAATCGGTTCTGCCCACCCTTTATATTGAGAGGTTGCAAGTGTATTGACCTTTTAGGCAATTAGAAAGATTTTCCATCCTAATACGAGTATTCTAATTAAAATATTTAATTTCAAACTTTAAAAATGTGAATTGAAAACTAGAAACAAAACAATTACAATTCTAAGACTATAGGTATATAAAATAATTAAATGCAGTGAATGGATATAAAATATTTGAATTGTGCACATGTTAATTTCAAACAGTGTTAGCTTCTCTCATAACTTAAGTCTCGTTTCAATTTGTATGAGGTTTGTTTGGTTATGGTATCGTTTAGTTTATGTTAAGTATTGGTTTATTGGTCTGAATTAAATGGGAACAGTGCAGTCAGTCACTCAGTCACTACTAGTCGGTGTGTAAAGAGGGTAGAGTCTGGTAGATTTATAGGAGATAAAACTAGTAGATCTATTGATAGTGCTGCACACTGTGCTTAGTGTGCTATCAGCTACCTACCGGTATCTGTTATGTGACTCTTCAATGTTTGGAAGATCTGCATTCCTGAAGTGTTTTTGTATATTGAAGCCAGTTAAATGGTCAATATTTAGCTCATTACCTTGCTCCATACAAACTTTACAAAGCTAATGAATAGACATATCAATAATTGTTTACCCAAAAATCCCCAAGTGAACACCACCTTGGCCTGTTGGCCATTATTGAAGGCAATAAGTGCCCTTTTTAGCCATCCATTATGATCCATATAGTCAAATGGGGTAAGACAGGATCGCAGGCTTCATGGGGTAAGAAAGGACCAGCCCATGGCATGCATTCTAATTGCACTGAATTTAATTTGATAAAAGAATATGTTGGAGCAATCATTGCCTGTCATTTCAGTGTTTGTTTCAACCCTCTTCTGCAACTAATGAATTTCTGGCTAATTTTAAAAGAAAACCTATCTAAAGAAGGGTCACAAAATAGTTAACCCTGTTTGGGAAATAAGCTCTGTCTAATGACAAAAAATTTTTTTGCCAAGTTTGTTGATGTAGGCAGGTAACCTTAAGTAATAGGCAACTTTTGAGATATACTAGGCATTCCTACCTGCTACCATCACTGCCTGACATCTATTCTAAAATGTGGTAAAAAAGGACCGGACATGGAGTAAGACGGGACCACTAAATGATCCTGTTTTACCCCACAAATGGTCCTATCTTACCCCACAAATGGTCCTGTCTTACCCCACAAATGGTCCTCTATTACCCTACAGTTTTTCAAAAAATAGTTTTTAAATGAATATATTATTGTGTAGTACATGGAGTATTTTGGTCAAAATTTTTATCTTTTGCTCAAACTTCATTATATCTTGTTAGCTTTATTAATTAAAGAAATTTAGTGCACTA